TGAAAGCTCCACAGCCTTCAAAATTGTGCCACAAACCGGGATCAAGCGATCAAAACAGGAGCCTGTGAGGGACATTTTAGATTCAAGCCCCAACAATCAGGGGGTTTGCTTCATCGTGTCCACACCCTCAATTCACGTTTCAAAATGGCAGACAGACAAAATGGAGTCTGTCACTTTTAAACAAGCTTCACAACTTTAAATAGTTCACTTACTCTTCTTTTTCTTAAATAGTTTCTGAGAAGTCAGACACTGCCCTCATCTCTGCCTCTCCATAGTTAAGCCTTCCTTTTCCTCCATCTTCTTTCAGGGTTTTGTTTTGGTTTTTTTCTTCATCTTTGATTTTCTGAAGTTTGAACCTGACATGTGTCGGTGCAGTTGTTTGCTTGCTTTCGCCTTCATTCTGCTTGGCATTCTGATACTACGGCTCAGTATCTGGTTCAATTTAGGGAAATTCTTGGTTATTATTGCTTCAAGTAGTTCTGCTGTTTTTTTTTTTTTCCTCATTCTTTTCAAATAATGTCATTATATACTTTTAGGCCTCTGTAGTTTGTCTACCCTTGCTGTTGGATATTCTGTTCAAGTCTTTTTTCTCTTGGCTTTTTAGTTTTGCAAATTTCCGTTGGTACAGCCTTAAGCTTGGAGTCTTTCCTCAGTGCTATGTGGTGGTCACTCATGAGCACATTAAAGACATTTTTCATGGGCTGGGGATGTGGCTCAGTTGGGGGGAGCACTTGCCTAGCATGTATGAAGTTCTGTCCTACCATGACATAGATTAGGATGTGGTGGCACATGCCAGGACTCAGAAAGCAGAGGTAGGAGGGGGTCATCCTCCATAGTCGGTTCAAGGCCAGCCTGATACATGAGACCCTGTCTGAAAAAAAATATTCTTCATATGTGCTCAGTGGGTTTTGTTATCTCACACATTTCTTCTTGAATCTTAGAATTTCCTTCTTTTCTTTCTATCAGCCATCTGTTCTCACCTAATGCTTTGCTCTTCTCATTAGAGTCTTTAGCTCATTAAGCATACTTGTTTTAAGTCCCTAGATGACAATCCCATGAGTGGTACAGCATTAGTAGCACATTCTCTTGCTCTAGTGTAGGCATCGTCTCTTCAATCTGTGTCTTCTGCCTTTTAGTACACCTTGGAATTTTTTGCTGGGTGTTAAGCATACTGTCCTTGGTGTAAGGAACTGGGGTAAAGTGGCTTTAGGGATACAGTGGCAAGGTAAGGGGAAGGGAGCACTGTGCAGCACTAATATCAGGCTTTAGCCTTGTGGAGTCTGTACCTCTCAGTTTTGAATGTCACAAGTGCTTCTCAGCATCCCACTCCCAACCTCAGATAAGACAAGCTAACTAAAAGGGGCTGAAGTTGGGCACGCCCCTTCCCTCAGTTGGTATGACTCCACTACACCCCAATAAGTTAGGCTTTGATGAAATTTTTCTTGAAGGCAGGCTTTCTTAGGAAGACCTGGTGCACTTCAGAATGGTTTATCTTCTTGTTCCCTACCAGAAGTGGGAGGGGATTTTCCTCTGATATTTGCTGGGAGAAACTGGCAGAAGTTTCAGAGGACACCTCACAAAAATGTGAAACCCTTAAGATGATCCCCCTGCAAGTTTTCATTCTCACACAAGTCCCCACAGAGCTTCCAGAAATTCTTTGGTTAAGGTTTAGGTTTTCCTACCTGATATCAGTTTCTGCAGCGGGGTCTTCAAATTCCAATTAAGTTTTGAATGTAGAGCCAACAGAATTGGCTGTTTTGCTGAATCTGGGAGGTGAGGGAGAAACCCTCCACATGTGTACTTCAGGTGTTGGCTCCTCCTGGCATTCTGGCCCTTCCAAATAGGCAAAGGGGTAGTGTTAGCCATGTCAGAGAGTGGGTTGTAAAAGACTATGATTTCCATCTTTTTGACAGGGTCTACCTGTCTTGTCTTGTGTTCATGTCATGACAAAAAGGGGAAGATCCCTGGCAAGGGCCCAAGGAGGCCTCTGACCAACAGCCAGCCAAGAATGGAGGCCCTCAGTCCAATGACCCACTAGAAGCTGGATCCTTACAGGAACCATACACATGAATCTAGAAGCGAGCCCTTCCCCAGCCAAGTCTTCTGTTTGGACCACACATCTTGGTCAACACCCTGAGTGATATTCCTGAAGCAAAGGCCTCAGCAAAGCTGAATCTTATTCCCAACCCACAGGAGCTGTGTGATCAGATACGCATTGTCTTAAACCACTCCATTCTGGAGTAGCTTGTTATGGGAAAATAACTCCTCTAGGATGTAAGGGAAAGAGAATGGGTCTAATTTCTGGCAGGAGAAACTGGTAGCTAGAGGTGTCAAGAGTCTAGAGGGGAGTAAACAAACATTTTGTCTACTAGATATCCAAGTTAAGCCATGGTTGTAGGACTCTGGGACACCTTTCAATGATGTAACAGTGAAATATAAACTTGGGGCTGGCAAGATGATTCAGTGCAACCAGGCCTGATGATCTGAGTTCAATCCCCAGGATCCACATAGTGAAAGAAGAGAACCAATTCTCACAAGTTGTCCTTTGACCTCTACATGCATGCTGTGGCACACATGCACACACACACATATGACTACATAAACAAACAAATGTAAAAAAATGTTTTTAAAATAAATACAAAACTTGGGTTTGGATTCAGGAAGGAGGTAAATCAGGTTTTTCTCTTTGCTTCAACATGTTTTAAAAACAGTGCTGGGACTGGGAAGATGGGTCAGTCAGTAACATGCTTGCAAGCACAAGGACCTGAATTTGATCCTCAGAGCCCATGTTGAAAAAAAATAAACAAAGCTGGAGGTGGTGGTGGTGTACTCTTATAATCCCAGAAGTGGGGAGGTAGAGACAGGCAGATCCTGGAGACTTGCTGGCCAGCCAACCTAGCCTACTTCATGAGTTTCAGGACCATGAAGACTCTGTCTCCCACAACAGATGGACAGTGCCTGAGGAACCACAATGACAAGGTTATTTTCTGGCCTCCAAAGGCAAACTCACACATGTGCACCTGAATACACATGTGCACCCATAAACACACGTGAACACACATACATGTACATACATACACATACCTACTAAAAAAAACCTCCACAAAACTGAGTCCTCTGTGTGTGAATCTGTCAAAAGGTCTACTTGGGTTTGAAGCCCAAACACATGGCTACTTCAGCATGTTGCTTTAATGTGCTCTGCTTTATTTCACTTGTGTGTGTGCTTAAGGGAGGTGCCTATTCACTGGGCCACGTTCTAAACAACAGTGGCATTTCTGAATGGGTCTGGTCTGGGTCTCTGTGTTTGTTGGCCCTCAGCTCAGTTCAGTGTCTTACTCCGCCTGGCATCCTAATCACTGCTGTAGGGTTAGCGACAGGCCCAGAGAACCTGCTGGCTGCTGTGACCACCCAAAGTATCCTTCCCACAAGTCCAAATGCTCCACAGTAGGATGACACCAGGACTGTCCCCGAGCCCAGGAAGGATGGCTGCATTCTTTGTGCAGCTTATCCTCAATGTCTGCTATTTCCAGCTTGCTCCGAGATGCCTGCTTGGTAAAAGCTTCCCATTTATTAGATATTCTCACAGCTAGAACTTTAAATACAATGTGTCCCCAAAGAATTACAATAAGTTGCTAACAGAATGATTTGGAGTGTAGTTAAATTTTAGATGAGTTATAAGACAAGGCAGAGTCTTGTAGAAACCTGGGAGCATTGTGATAACTAGTGTTCTTTGTTCTGCAGCTGTGCCAAAAAGAGAGAATTAATAGATCACCACCTGTCATTTCATGACGAATAGAAGAGAATGTCCTAATGTGGTATGGGGGGGGCACACATGCCACTGTGTGCATGTGGAGATCAGAGGGCAACTTGTAGGAGTTGGTTCTCTCCTTCCACCATGTGGGTTCTAGGGATCGAACTCACAACGTTAGGGTTGGAGAATAGGACCTTAACCTACTGAGCCATCTCTCTAGGGCAGGAATCTATTCTTACATGGGGCTGTCAAGTTTTTACTACATTGAACTCTATGCCAGAAAGGAAACAAAATGTACACTTAGGTATGTATGATAAACTACATTTTGTTGTATTCATTAACACAGGTTTTACTGGGTACCTATTTTGAGCCAGGCAATGTGCATTCTTTTGAAAGTATTATTTAACTTAATGCTCACAGAAGGCCTCTGTGGTGAGCATGTTATTACCATTTTGCAAACCTGGAGAATTCTGCATCTATCACAGGCTTACCAAGTCAGTGACTGTCCAATTTCAAATTTAAACATTGAAAGCCATTCTATAATTACTCAGAATACACGGATCTAGAGGGATTCTATCCAGCAGCTATTCACTGGGCACTACACTGTGCACTGGGCCAATGGAAGAGATGTCCTCTGGAGACCTGTGGATTGATGCCTAACGGTATGGATAGATGGATGAAGCCAAGGATGGGACTGCCCACCCAATAAAGGATCCTGAGAGAATTGGATGGAGGGGGAGGATGGAGTGGGTGGAAGAGTGAGTTGTGGGCTGGAGAGATGGCTCAGGAATTAAGAGCATTGGCTGCTCTTGCAGAGGACCTGGTCAGTTCCCAGCACCTACGTGACGGCTAACAGTAGTCCTAACTCTAGTTCCAGGGGATCCGATGCCCTCTTCTGACCTCTATGGGCATTGCACGACACGGGTGAACTGACATACATGCAGGCAATTCATACACATAAAATAAAATAATAATAAAATATTTTGAAGAGTTGTGAGTGGGTGTGTGGAAGGGTGATGGAGTGGGTAGACGAGAGAGTCAGTGGGTGGGTGGGTAAGTGAGTGTGAATGCAGGTGGGCTAACCTGCGCTACCTGAAGTCTCTGCGCCAGTCAGCCAGCGGTGGGCGGCCAGGCTACTCCACACAGTACGGTAGGGAGGGCTGCTTCTCCAGGAACCGGCCCGCGCCTCCTCCCCGCCCTCCTCCCGCTTCTCTCCTCCCCCTCCTCTTCCTCCTTCTTCTCCCCCTCCTCCTCCACAGTCCGCCACGACCCCAGTCCCGGGCGTGCGGGCTCAGGAGGCTGCGGCTGCGGGCCGAGATGCCAAGAGGGGCCGTTGCGCCCTGGGGCCGTTGCTCCGCACCATGAAGCTCCGCAGCAAGGCGGCGGCGCTGCTCCTGCTGGCACTGGCCGCGCTGCTGCTGGCTCTGCTGTCCCTGCGCGCCCGCCGCGCCCCCGAGCCCCGCGTCCTCCCCGCCGCCCTACAGCGCCGCCCGGCTCCGGTTGCCGCGCGCCCCGCAGAGCCCCGCGTTTTCCCCGGGGACCTCCGCCCGCGCTCTCCTCCGCGCCGGCCCCCGCGTCCGCACCCCAGATCCCGCCGCCCCGGCGCCGCCGGCCGCCACAAGTTGGCGAGGTGAGTCGTGGCAGCCCCGGGATCCCTCCCATCTGGGGACCCGCGTCTCGTTCCCCCACACCGGTGCCAAATTCAAGGGCGGCTTAGGGCTGGACGGATGGACCGTCAGAATCCAAGTTTCACTCACCCACTGCTTTTTCCCATCCGGCCGGACACACAGACCACCCTGGTGGCACCCACGCACCTTTGCGGAGACGTGCCAGGGAGAGTGGCTGGCAGATTGCGGGGCGCGACTGTCACGGTCCAGGAGTCTAGTTATGTTCTTGCAAACATGTGGCTTTTGTTCCATTTTTCAAAAGCCACCGCGAGGCAACTGGATCTTACTATCTTGTTTCTGGGGAAAATTCAGAGCGAAAACTTTGATGTTGATGGAGTTGGAAAAGTTAGATGCTGAGCCAGGACTGGCTGCATTTGGTTCAAGCTCCAGTGCCTGCGTGCTTCCCGCAGAGGAGGCGTCTGGCTCAAGTTTATTCCAAGTTTGCGCCTTGGGAAGGAGTGGTGCGTGGCCAGGGAGAGGCAGACAGGGGGGTTCTGGTCCCTCGGTCTTTTGGGGGCTGCAGTATGCTAGGACCCCTGCCCGGAAACATCTTAACCTTCCTTGTTGCAGTCTCTCCCCACACAAAGCGGTCCACGCGGCGCCCTTTCATCCCAGCGTTTTTATCTTTGGCCCTAGCTGGCAGGTTGGGGGATCTACGTTCATTTCCTTTGTTGTGAGAGGCTTTTGAAAAATCCCCCAGTTTTGGAGTGGGTCTGTTTCCTCTGCTCGCTCAGAGCTGCTGTTTCTAACTGCCCTTGCAACGGCTCCGTTTTCTGGGCTCCTTAATTACATGAAATGAGTTGAAGAATGCTTTTTGACCATAATGACGAAGTCTGTTTGGGGCGCTTTTTCTTTTACTGTAGTTAAGAGAAAAGACACGAAACCTCAAGAAGTAGCTGTGTCAGCGTTTGTCTCTCTTCTGCCTCGTAATAAATGCACAGATGGGTGTTTTTAGGGGAGAAAAAAATCCCAAAAATCTAAGATTTTGACATTTTTATTACATTATTTAGTGTATGTGTTTGCATGTTGGGGGGAAGCACATGTGCCACAGCATGTGTGGAAGTCAGAAGACAACTTTTGGGAGTCAGTTCTCTGCTACTACCCAGTGTGTCCTGGGGATCAAACTCAGACGGCTTTACTTTCTGAGCCTGAGTAAACCCTAATCTAAGACTTTAAAAGTACTTGAAACTCTTTACAAGTTCTGAATAGACACTTTTTAAATATAAGGCTATTTTTTTTTAATGGGGCTGGAGAGATGGCTCAGTGGTAAAGAGCAGTGGCTGCTCTTGCAGAGGACCCGGGTTTGAGTCCCAGGAACCACATGGCGTCTCAGTTCCTGGGGAATTCGACGCCCTCTTCTGACCTCCATGGAAATTGCATCACACTGGTGTACTTACATGCAGGCAATACGCTCGCTCATGTACATAAAATAAAAATAATAAATAAAATACTAAAAAAAGAACATGCTCTTGTTGTCCAAAGCCCTGCCACTAACTGTTCTTCCTAAGTTTGAAGCCAAGTGTGACTTGCCACTTGTCATTATAGTTCTAACTTTCTTAGGCCT